AAAAAAAAAAAAGATAAAAAGAGTGTTGATGTCGATGATGATGCTAAATTTCAAAGCCAACAGAGAGACAGAGCCTAATACAGAAACATCAAAAATTAGCCAAAAGCAGAAGTAATCAAATAATAATAATAATAATAATAATAATAATAATAATTTCTTTGCTCACATGATTACATAATCAATTCAAGAAAACCATGATTGTTGAATGGTCTTAAAACTGTTGATCTCTCATCTCATCTCTGCATAAGAAGTTAATAGTAGGGGGGCTGGTTGGGGGTGGGGTGGGGTGGGGGGTAATGAATTGATGGGCCAATGGGGGTATGAATATGATGGCCAATTCCACAATTTTCAGTCTCTTTAAATAAAACCAAACTGGGGTCTCCCACACATGGTTAGATTCTGACCTGGGTTAGGTCCAAGTTAGCATTTTTTTTTGAAGGGTTGCTTGGATATATTGTTATTTTTATTTTTTATTATTTTTTTTTTTGGTTAATGAGAGTTAATTTCAAAGAGTTTGTTGAGTTAAAGTTTGATTGAGATTTTGATTTGTATTGAAAAAATATTTATAGTAAAAAATAAATAAAATTGGTTTATTGAGAGATGTGATTGAAATTAACGAATAATTGAAATTATGTAACTGGATTAATAGTGAATTAGAATTGTTGTAATTGTGAGATAATTGATTGAATATCAAAAAATTATATTAATATTAATAATAGTGAGAGTGGTTTGTTGTAAATGGAAATACTCAAACATTCAGCAAGCATTCACCAATCCAAGTAAAGTATACGGCTGAGAAAACACAAAGAATAGAGCAGAAAGAGTATCTCTTATTAATCGATGTCTTCACTTTTATAATTACAAGATAGAGGGAAATGTACGGTCTTTTTACGGAACATTCATTTGGGGTCTGTAACCGTTAGATCATCATGTAACCATCAGAAATAGTTGATCTAAAGATTACAAACCCCGACGGGATGATTCCGTAACGGGATTGTAACATCTCCCCAAGATAGAAACCTAAACCCTATTCACCTAGCTAATGCACTTCAGGCCCAATAAATATTTTAGTAATGTTCATATTAAAATATATTTATAACAGGTTGGAGTTAAATTTAAGTTGTGCTCAAATTTGTTTGAAAAATTTGAGGGCGGTGGTGAGTATAACGTTTGTGTAATCACCCTTTATATTAATTCAGAACGTGTTGAGCCTAAGTGGCAGACCCGCAAGCTTCGGGATCCTATTTGGCAAAAATAACATGCTTCATTATTAGGTTTAGATAGATTTTAATTTACTTCAAATCCAAAAATAATTAGGTACGAATTATCCATATTTATGTTGATTATTTATGGTCATAACTTTTGTTATTAGGCTTGAATATTTTAATAATTAATAACTGTTGTATTTTTTTTTATCAATTTTATGTAATTAATATATCAACTTAATAATCTTTTGATGAACTTCTATTTAACATGCATATTGTATGTATAATAAAAATATATTATATTTATCTTTATAACAATAATAATTGTTTTTTAATATTAATTGTAAAAATAAAATTATTTATCAATTAAGATATTTATATTTCATGTAGTTATATGATATAAGTTATAAAACTTCCTATAATATAGCACATGTAAGTCGCACAAGTAACACATGTCATTCTATAATATATAATAATACATATTTTTTGTAAAAAAAGAAAATAAAATTTAAAATAAATTTTCTCATTAATTTTTAAATTTAAGAATAACTTTTTAAAAAACACCCGTGTAATACACTTGACTCATACAAAAATATTTGATCCATATTAGTTTTTGAATTCGCATATTTATCATTATTATATTATTTTTTTCGTAAACACAAATGAAATGAACCCCAAATGCAACGCAAATGCAAGGATCTTGGTCCACAGTGTTAAGTATGCTTATGTTAAGAGCGTTTTTAAGTCCTCCAAATGATTAATTATCATCATTATAATTTACAACTTTATAAGGGCTTGTGATAAGTGGGATAAATTTGTACGGCGGCGCGGCGTTGGCTTGAGCCGAGCCATATTTGGAGATTTGGATGGTATCAACAGATCATGGGTGCAACAACCATGTGGCCGGTGCCCTTGGAAGCCGGAAACAATTCATTTTAATTATACTATTTTAATTTAATATGTGACGGCTTTTTTTATTTTAAATTGATAAAATCTATTAGGAATTTTCATAGAGATTTTATGGTGAAAACAAAAAATCTTCAATATAATTATGTACTATCTATTTAATTGTTAACCATCAGTTTGATTTTTTTTTATTTGCCAAAACGATAGATTGTATTACAAATCAAAATGCACAAATGTGCGAAACAGCCAACGACTGAAAAACCAACACATTAGTTGGATTTTTAATATGCTAGTTTGTTAACATGTAAATATTTTCTCTTGCACCTCGCTCCTATATATATACTGCATTAATAGGCCCGAACATTTTGATGTAAGGAAAAGCGTACGAGTGGGAAGGATAAACGAGTAAACGAGAAACTCTCTCGTAAAACACGTAAAACGAGATACTCTCTCGATAAAACTCACAATCAATTCATATTTTTATTCAAAATCAACTCCCCTAATAACATAGCACAAGAACCCTTTA